TAGGCAGGTAAAGAAGTTTCAGTCAAGTTTGACATGCTAAGCAGAGGAGAGAATTAACCCTCTCACTAGCCTAAAATCATCAATCAAAGCTTTCATCAACGCCGGCAGCTGACATCTTGACATTTCAATTTATCAAAAAGGAGAAAAAGGTGATGTGAAAGTCAAAGGAAGAAATGCACACAATTGTTTCCAGCAGGTTTAAACCCGGAAAGAGAGCTGAGAAAACATGAATTGATCAAGAATGTAACCTGGCAGAAGAAGTGTCATGATATCAGCAAAGAGCATAACTTAGTAACAATGTTCACTTTCACTGTTCTAAATGCTCCTTTCTATTTCTGTTTTCATCAGTGCTGATGAAAACATGACAATGTTTTTATGACAATGACGAGACAATGAAACAAACACGGCTCTTTGATGAAACATGATGAGACTTGGTTGAGTTTTCTTAGTCAAGACCAAGACGCATGACATTGCACAAATACGACAAACTCAGGGCAGATATTAATTGTAGTTTATAATTTTATTGAGGCATCAATTGTTGCTTTGTGGCCAAGTTGTTCAGTAGGATGAGATCTCAAATCAAAGTTGCGGTTCTTTTGTGCAGATAGATTCATCCTTGAACCTCTATTCCATAAACAAAGTGTGAGGAGAACCAAGACACTCCTTATTTTTTGTGGCATTTTTATGCTGAAGTTCTTTACAAGTGGTGTAGAATCTGTAGCAGGTGGTTTTACACATCAATATATCAGGTGGTTTCTGAAAGTTACAAGGTTTTTTTAAATTACTCTGAAAATTAAACATAAATGTACTGATATTAGAAAACCTAATTTCTATTTTGAATATTTAAGTACTTTTAAATGCATGTACTTTGAATACTTAAGTATTTTCAAAAATAAATACTTCAACACTTTAACTTGAGTAGATGTTTGACTGAGTCATTTTTATTTGTAGTTCAGTAAGATTTGACTATGAGTATTAATACTTTTACTAATGTTGAGTACCTTGTCCACCACTGGATATCACTGCAAAGATAAGATACTGTTACTTCAAAATAAAGGTCAGTTGATTGCTCTAACATGAGTTCATTAATTGTGTGTGTAGAAAATACTGTGATTTATGAATAATATTCAGCAAAGTTATGTTTACCAGGTAATATTGTATATAAGTTATTATCACACAAAATTTGGTACCTTTGATCATTGACATTTAGTGTATAATTTTGGAGCTGGAGAGTGGTTTGGATTATTCATCAGTGATTTGTGAACACTGAGTTTGAGGCTTTTGGGTGCTTTTCTACTAAGTTTGGACCAAGAAAGTTTCTCATAAAAAAATAAAGGAGTCAGTGGAACTTAAAATGATGAAGCCGTGAATTTTTAAGTCGAGAATGGCGATAAGGGAAAGTAAAAAGTCAAAAAACTTTTGTTTTTTTGATAAATATGTTAATTTTGGGATTTCATCAACTGAGGGAACAATTTAAATAAATAAAAAAGTATATATATATATATATATATATATATATATATATATATATATATATATATATATATATATATATATATATATATATATATATATATATTCACTCAGTAGAATGTATTTGCATGTATATAACAAATACATTTTTATATGAAGTTACTAAATGGTAACTAAAACTAATAAGCATTTTTCACCTAAAAGACTAAGACTTAAACTTGGAAGGCTCCTTTCCCATCTGAATCAAAAAGACATTTTCGTTACAGCAGAGGATGGACAACACAAAATCAGAGAAAATAAAAGTGGAAAACAATTCTTAAACACAACAGCTGGTTTTCCATTAAAAACTCAAAATGAACAAAAATTATTCTGTATTTTTTTTTATAATTTAACTCAGATTATTTCATGTTTCATTGCTTAATAACATCCAGAGTTATAAATGGTTGAATGTGGTTTTAACTGGGTGGGAGCAGAAACATAAAGCAGGATCCAAACTTGAAATTCTAACTGAAAGCATAAGACTTTGTGGTTAATGCAATAGTTATGCACTAAAGTGAAGCAATGCAGCATCGGAGAAAAGTCGTGGTTTTAATTAAGTCAGTTTAGCAGTTTTTTAACACGCCTCCTTTTAGGAATGTGATTCTCAGCTTTGGGTACATTTTAAACAAGATGAACTGCTATATTCTAGTTTAAGAAAAACAAACAGACTTCTATTTTATTATCAAATGGTCTTACAAGTATGATAAAATCTGGTGTTCATAAAGTGCCATCAAACATAGGTTGTGGTGTCTAAAATAACAAGATATTACAGAGATTACAAGATAAACAACATTTGTCTTTCAAGCTCATTTAGTTCCTGAAGGCAACATTGCAGCTGAACAAACACAAAAGCATAACTAATATAAAACATTAAATATTTTTTTCCAGACCAAAAAACGCACTATCTACATTTTTATGAACTGATTAATCATCGCTAATGATAACCTACTAAAGGAAATGAGCATAGTGTTCTGTAAAGTTAAATATGTGCAAAGTGATTCTAAAACACATTTAGCCAGCAAATGTATCTCATGGTGAAATGATTCTGAGCCTTCATGAGAACAGGCAACATGCTCCCTAGAAATGTCTTAGTTATGTGTAAGCAGGTCAGGTCAGGCCAAATGCACACACCCACACAGCCACATAAACAGACACTGCTCATCTTTGGATTATGAAAATAGGTTAGCTTGGTAAACACCCTCAGCATAGGGAATTTTACAACAGATTACATCCAAAATAAGTTTATGATCACTTTTTTTTCTCTTCACATAGGGGTTTCTACAAGCAAACACACATCCACAAGAAAAATACAAGGATCCTGTGCATAGAGTAATGCAGCAACTATGTATTTCTGATTATCCATGTATTGTCTGTCAGTAATCTTTAACCGGATGGTCAAGATACTTTATATCAGAGGGGGACCAAGCCATCTTCCTTCACATCCAGCTCATTCTGGGGGATGATGAAGCTATTTGCCTATCTCCATGGCTAACTTTGGCCAACTTTAAGGAAGCTCATTTCATCCTCTTTTCTTCAGGACCTTGTTATTTTGTTCATTATCCACGATGCATACCAATAATAAATCTAAATATGGTGAGAACAGGATACAGAAGCTGATTTCTTCATGTTCAGCCATGATTAACACCAATTCAAGATTGCACATGCGATCCTAGTATTTTTATTTGCAATGTCTCAGGTGTCTATTTATGACACTGTTAATTTGCAAGTATATTGGTGACTGAATTGGTCAGACTGTCCTGTAAAGGAGATAAGTAATTTTAAGGGCTAGATCAAAAGTCAAGGTAGCAGATTATTCCCATCTAGACTCAGTTCTCTTCTGTATAAATTGTGCAATAAATTGAACATACTTTTATAATATCAATTAGCTTAGAGCTGTAACTAACCCATTATTTAGCAAATCGATTGATCAGTCCAATATTTTTTCAAGAGCCAAAAGTTACTTAAGGAAGATTTTTACGAAATTCAACCAGGTGAAATTGAAAAATTTCCTCTTGTAGAGTTCTGGATAGAGCATATTGACAGACGAAAAAGTTTTTCATCTTGAATGCAAATGTTTTACATTTTTTAAAACAATTTTGGTATAATTACTGCTCTAAGTGTGTTGCTCTGTTAAAGAAAAAATTTAGATTCTCTACACTCCAGTTAACAATTAATCCATTAATACAATGATTGACGATTATTTTAAGAATCTATTAATCACGATTAATCCGATTAACTTTTTTGCTCTTAATTAGCTGTTAATAAACAATGCCCATATATGAACTCAGTGTTTTATATTGCTTTTAAAGCAACTTTATTAACAGTTTCTGCAGCCATTTTTTATTTTGGAGATCTGATGACAGAAACAGATCCTCTTGTAAAAAACTTTAAGTTTGACAATTATGATATTGTCAGGGAGGATTATGTTAAGATTTTCTATTTAGATCAGCTTTAATGCCACTTTAGCTCTAAGGCTACGTTCACACTGCAGGCTTTGATGCTCAATTCTGATTTTTTTCTGAAATCCGATTTTTTTTTGCGATGCTCTCCATATTTCCAAATATATGCGACTTGTATGTGATCTCCTGTGTAAACTGCATTCATACAGCTTAAGTGTCCCACATGCGCAGTAGAGGACGCAATGACGTCACAAGCCACTGTGCTTCGTGTTTAAGGAAGTAAACATGGATGTAGTGCTGGAACACATCTAGCGATGTTTCCAAACCTTAAAACCTAAATCTGTTAAAGATGGTTAAAAAAAAAATACTGCTCTCCATATTATTGTCTGCCATGGTTGCTGTTTTTCTTGCTGCTTCTGTGTAGCAAGAAGAAGAATAGTGACCTTTGTCACGTATTAATGGCTTTCAGGTCGAATGAATGTTACCTGGCGGTTCAGACACAGGTCGCATTTGAAAAGATCGGATTCGTATCGGATTCAGGACCACATAGCCAAACGGCTGGGGTTGCATTGAAAAAAATCGGATCTGTGTTGTTCAGACAGTCATGAAAAGATGAGATCCAGGTCGCATGTCGGCCAAAAAATCGGATTTGGGTCACTTCAGGCTGCAGTGTGAACGCAGCCAAAGTCACCTTTTAACAGCCTGCTGCAGCCGTTTAAATTCTTTTCTCACAATTGTACCCAACACACAGAGCCGACAACAATAGTGAGCTCTGTCTGACATTACCTCTATCGATCAATCTGTTTCTATTTTTACTGCTAATTGTTTTTAAAGTGTAATCCTAAATGCACACCTTTTATTCTGTCTTACTGCTGTGACAATTCAAATCCTCCCATAGGGGATGAATAATGTTTTATGTTATTTAATTTACTGAAAACCATTAGAGCTGTATTAACTCAGAACCATCTAAACAGAACTGCAAAAATGTGCCCATGTAACAAGATCTGTAATCTATCTACAGTCTATGAAAGGGACTGAAGTCCCTTTCATAGACTGATCACATAACGTTAGAGAAAAAGAAACAATTACCCCTTTGTTGAAGCCCCCTGATGGGGCAGAATTGGTGCGCTTGTAGGTGCTCTTTGCACTAAACTTGCTGGTTCCAAACTCATTATAGGATTTGGAAGACTGTTGTGTAGTGCCTGTCAAAATAAAAGAGAGAGGAGAAACAGCAAACACTGAATAATGATTGCTTTAAAAATGACATACTTTAATGTATAATTATCCAGACTGCACATCCCAGATTTAACTTTTATTTTGTAAGGGAAATTATGAAGCTGGGATGACACACTGACAGAATCATGTGTAAATAATAAGCTGCACGTTTGTTAGGGCGTTGAGACACAGTCATATCACTGTAATTGTTTGGCTCATGGGCTAATTCATCAGGACAAAGAAATCATGTACAGTGACACACTCCTACTCCAAAAATAGTTTCCTTATCTTTGCAGTAAGACAGACATAAACTTTTCAGAGTAAGAAAAGTAAAAAATGGCATAACAACACATACATTTCAGGCTGAATGAATTTAAAAAATAAACATTTGTAAAATGTTTATTTTACTTCCATGTGCAAACATCATTAAATTGTTAGAATATGTGTGTAAAATACATATTTGTCATAAAACGCTCCTCTGCTGACTGATGATTGTTGCATATTTCATGGAAAACAAGAGGAGGGGCAAAAAAAAAAAAAAAATGCCACATACTGAAAATTTATAGCGAAGACCGAATTTCATAAAGTTTAAAGCATCAACTTATAAAAATGTCAAGTTAAGACAATAAACAAGCCTTTAGACAAATCCTTGCTTTAGAAACTATTCTCTGTTTAGTCCTTGTTTAAGGAATAAACACCAACTGGTTTATATCACCCTAAAAAAAAATTCTTTAACTATCAAATACAACATCTAAAAACCTAAACATATAGAAAATATATTTTTGTATCTTTAATCTGAAAAAATGTGATAGAAAAGCTCAGACTCAAATCAGCATATATAATCTTATTTCTAGTTTGCAGCTGCATCTTCTTTTTTTGTAGGTTTTTTTTTCCTTGCATTACTTACTGCATCATGACTCAAACTGCACAAAACAATATAAATCCAGTGGCTTTTTGTTTTTGCCGAAAAGCTTTTGAATATATAAAAGGAGTTTGAAAAAAAAAATCTAATCAAGATGCAAACAAAAGCAGTTTTACTGTAACCTCATTTTATCATCTGGCATAAACAGCCAGATATTAAAAGCCGTTAGACATCAGATGAAAATACTTATATGACATGGATGCAGTAAAACCGCAGGCATGCAATTAAACCTACACACAGAAAGACATAACCACCTCAAACAAACAGGCTGCAGTCTGTTTCAACTTATGCAGATAAATATGTGATATATTTATGCATCCTAACTGATTAAATCATTGCCTTTTGCAGGTCATGCAAAAGAGGGTTTGGAAATAGGTTTTGCAAGGCTGGGAAAAATGTTGACAGTTTATGCGTCAGGCAATAAGGGTGGCCTTTCTGGTCGCGCAGTTGTGAGAATTGAGCAGATTAAGTGTAAAAAAAATGAAAAATGAAAAATTAATAAAAAATGAATAAAAATTGGGATCATGCCAACTTTATCGCCGTAATACTCAAAGTGTTACCTTAAAAGTAGGGGATATTATCTTTTTCAAATCTAAAAAACGCGCTCATGTCTAACTCTTTTTGCGCACGGGTGTTAAAGTATCAAAAGAAACTAGTTTGGACTCAAAAATTGCACAGCTTTAGGTTTACTGTCTGATTTAACCCAGAAACACATCCGTGCTAAAGTAAATAAATAAATAAATAAATAAATAAATAAATAAATAAATAAGGGGCTCCTCTAGATGTCTGTGACGCACCTCTCCAGATAACTCAAAAAGAAACCTAAACAATTTCATGTGATTCTCCAACAACCTAAAAAAAATACTTTAAATACTGTTGAAAGAAGGCGGTTTCCCTACCTATGGTGCCGTTCTTGTATTTGGACTTGCTCCTCTTTATGCTGTGGACCTGGCTGAGGACGCGCTGGTGTCCGGAGCTCAAGCTCTTGTCGGACGGTAATGCGAGCGACGTGTCCTCTCCGCCCCCAATGTCCGTGGTCGATCGCAGCGGATCCGGTACCATCATCTTCCCAAACTCGTATCCCTGACCTGGAGAGAGGCTGGATCAACCGAGTGGTCCTAACCAGAGGGGTGCCCGGGGAGCAGATGCTCTGCAGCAACGGGTGCAGAAATGTGCCAAAGCGCACATATGGTGAGAGTTCCCAGACTAGTAGCTGTGAACTCCACCCTGTTGTACCGCGCCCCTCAGAGGAGAGTTCACATCCAGGTGTGGGGATGAAGGGTGGAGCTGAGGGAAAAGTGAGGAACTGACGACAGCCCCCATTACTGCGCAGCTCACATGCACGTTTAAATACATGGTTATGTCATTTTGTTTATCATTTCATTTCTCTGCAGGATGCGTTTTTGTTTTAACTTGCAAAACGTTTCAGCTGCACGAGAGGCTCAACGTGTCATGTGTTGTAGCAGATTATTCAAATATAATAAAACAAGTCGATCTTTGGAGAAGACGTCAGATAAAAGTTAGTATCCATCCACACCCTTTTCAGAGGCGTAGACAGACCCTAATAGGGGTGGCCAGTCAATAACCAATGTGCATTGAGGGGTGGCTGAAAGGCACCAGAACCTCAGGGTCAATCTACACTGTTCCAACAGGAACATGCACAACATCCATATTTTCTAAATAAAGACAAACTATACTTTCCTGTAGCCTTTGCTGACTAATAGATGCATATATTTAAACATCTATGCTGTGTAAATAAAAGGTACAGTGGACTAAATTCTTTCAGGTATGAGTTCTGGGGCGAACATATTTTCAATTTTCATCATGCAAAAAAATGATATTTAATTCAACTAATTTCCACATTTAATTATTTTTTATGCCAAATATTAATGAGTAGTTGTTTATCTATGTATTCACTGAAGACTCCCAGATGACTTGTAGAGCCACACAATTTTTATCTTTATCCCAAATAATTCAAAATTTAGTTCTGAAAAGAGCATCTTTAATGTTTGTATATCGATGTGCATAATTAGCCACAGTGTTTCTGTTGTCAAGTAGTTGTTAATAAATGAAAAATGTAAATGTTTAATAAGTTTGAACATTCCCCTTCAGAGTATTACTGCTGCCACTGTCTGTTTTAGAGGGAAAAATGGTAGGGGTGGCCAATGATTGGCTGAGGGTTGCCATGGCCATCCCTGGCCCACCATCTAGCTCCGCCCCTGACCCGTTTGTATAAATGCTGCAGAATTGAAACTAAAGCTGCTGGAGAAAGCATTTTAATTTTTTTTTAAAAAAGTATAATTTAATGTTATGGACAGGCATAATGTATTCATTGATTGATAAAAATAGTAAAACTGTCATGAAAAAAACAAACACAGACGCATTTGTTTTCACCCCTACACTCTAACAACACTTAATAAAATCCTCTTCAGCAGTTACCTAATCAGCAAAAAAAAATGCACCTAATCCTTGCATTAATCCTACTATGGCCTCAGAAGGTTGTTAGTAAATATTGGCATATAAACAGTACCGTGGAAACCAAGGAACACAACCCCGATTATAAACAGAGGCATAATGATTCACCTTAAATTACAGATGAAGCAACGAGAACATTAATCAAAGGAGAGAGAAGAAGATCTTCTGGCTCTGATGAAACTGTTGGAGACCAATAGCTCGACTACTGGGAAATAAATGCACTTTTCAAATCTTGCCTTAATGGAAGAGTAGTGAGAAGACAGCCATTGTTAGAAAAGAAGCAATTAGTTCCCCTGTTAATTCTGCAAAAAGCCATGAAGGAGACACTGGGAATTAGTGGAAGATTGCTTGTTAAGATGAGGCTGAAACCGCCCAGATCTTTTCTTTTAGGCAGTTGGATGGATCATGGATGGAACTAAAAAAAGAGAGACCCTTCTAGAAGGCAATCTGTCACAAAATATAATCAGACTCGAAGGAGGTTAATCTTCCCAAAAGGACAATGACTCTAAAACTAGTGTTGCACCGATGCCAATACCTGGCTTTGCAGTATCGGCCGATGCCGATACCATACCTACACCATCGGTTTGAAATTGATGTGTGTATATATATGAAGAACTTCATAATACTTGGACGTAAAATAATTGCCATCATGGCTTGGTCAAGCTGCTGCCTGCCTTTGTGAGGCAAGAAAAAGACTAATATGAATGTGAATCCAGTAGAACTTTTGACCTGGAATGGGTGACAATAGTTGAATAAACTTTTGGCTCTCAAATGGTATCGGTGCTCTAGTTGTTGGTACTGACCGATACCACCATTTTAGTGCTGGATCGGGGGCCCATCCGATACTGGTAATGGTATCGGTGCAACACTACCTAAAACACACAACCAGAGCTAGTGGGACTAGTTGAGATCAAATTCAGGTTTTAAAAAGAATCAGGAAAATATTTTTCTGTGAATAGATGCTCTTCAATTAATCTGTCCAAATTGGCCTAGTGGGTTAGAGCAGTGTGCTTGTGGTCTGAGAAGGTTGCAAGTACCCAGTTCAATCCCCACTTCCTCCACTCTGGGCTACTGAGAAAGACCTGTAACCCTTGATTGCTCCCCGGGTGCCGCACAATGGCAGCCCTCTGCTCCCCAAGATGATGAGTTAAATACAGAGGTTAAATTTGCCAATGTGAGATCAATAAAGTTCAGTTATTATTTTTGAGCTGTTTTGCTATGTCGCATTTGCAAATGTTTGTGTTACTTGATATCCACCAACAGTTGTAGCTAGGAAAGGTGAGTTCACGAATAAATAACTTAAGAGCCCTCAGTAAACTGCACACCAGTTTTCAGATTTTCCTGCTAATATTTTAAACCATTAAAACCAGAGGAGTCAGCTGAGGTGACTGGGACATCTATTTTGGTTGGACACCTCCCATGGGAGGTGTTGCAGGCACACCCCAGGGGGAGGAAGCTCAGGGGACAACCCAGGACACGCGTGAAGGAATATGTCTGGCAATTTCTGCTGTGTGCAAAACTAACCAAGTGTTCTATTCATTCTAAAATTTTATTTTGATATAAAACAAAGGACAACAGTTTCAAACACACAATAGTAGAATGGTTGCATACAGGTTCCTCTTTTCCTTAGGCAATAAGAAAATTTGAATCTAGTGACTTTTTAAACATGAGCGAAAAAGCATTCCGGATGCTGGGACCCTAGGTAAAGGTGTAATAGGAAGAAATTCATTCATGTATCCCATCCAAATATGTGCAGCTGGAAGCTCTGTAGGGGCTGTAAATACTACTTACAGCCTGATTTGCACGTGATACAGGATGAGACAGAATGAATCAGACTGGGAGAAAGATTAAAAAAAGAGGAGGGGTTAAAGGATTAAAGAAAGAGAAGAGAAGTTGGAGGGGAAACTGAGGTAAGGAACACATGCTTTCAGCATAACCGGACTGTTTTGGCAATGGTTCTAAAGGTGACAGTTTCTCACCACACCCTTCAGCTGAACAGTACCACAGCGATAAATGCCTTGGTTTGTGTTACTTAACAACATGCAAGCAAGTCTATAATTTTTTTTCCTATTTTAGTTGATGCCAATAAGCTGTAGTTTTATATCTTCCAGTGAAACTGCTCAGAAGGTGTATTACATAACTCAAACTGTACATTTTATTTTAACATATTACATCAATTATAGGCACTGGTGTACAAGCTACTCAACTGTAGTACTTGAGTAAAAGTATTGATACTCATAGTCAAATCTTACTTAACTAAGAGTAAATTTTGCTTAGCCAAAAATCTACTCAGGTTAAAGTACTAAAGTCATAATTTTTGAAAATACTTAAGTATTTAAATTAAATTTCTGTCTTATTTTCAGAGTAATTTTAGAGAACCTTGTACCTTTCAGAAATAACGTGATGTATTGACATGCAGAACCTTCTGCTTCAAATTCTACACCACTTGTAAAGAACCTCAGCAGAAAAATGCTACATAAAATAAGAGTAGGTATTTATATTATTAGTTTTTATTTAAAAATACATCAAAAGGTAAACATCAGTCTTGACTCTTCTCACACGTTCACTACAGAGGTTTAACGTTACAGCTATGCTTTAAGAACTCATCCTACGAAGAACTTGGGAACATGGCCACAACTAACACCTTAATAAAATATATAGAGAGGTGGCGCAGTGGTTAGTGTGCACAACCCATGTACGGAGGCCTGTTGCGTGTCAGAACTGATGTTTTCCCCATTAGTCAATGTAATTATACTGTCAGAAAAACTATTGCTAATAGACACTAGTGCTGTAAAAACTCAAAACAATATATAGACTATAAAATAATATCGGCCTTAGTTTTTCACATTTGTGGAATGTCATTAAATCTCTAAAACAGTGGAGTACTAATTTAGTCTTCAAGGGATTGTATCTTGCATTTTTTTGTTCTGACTTCTCTAAATCCTCCTTAGGTGTGAGTGTGTGTGTATGAATGATCGTTTGTCCTGTGTGTCTCTGTGTTACCCTGCGATAGACTGGCGACCTGTCCAGGATGTTCCCGCCTCCTGCCTATAAACAGCTGGAGACAGGCACCAGAACCCCCCGCGAACCCAGCAGGGATAAAGCCTGACAGAAAATGGATGGATGGATGTTTAAGTTCTCCACGGAGGAAGTTACTTCCTCCTCAGCATGTCCAAGTTCTGAATATGCCTACTAATGAGCTACCATTTGACCCAGGTGTGTTGAAAAAGAGACATAATTAAAACATGCAGGATATCTCCGGTTGAGGCAATTTATGCAAAATTTTGTAGTTTGTTATTTCTACCAAATTAGTTTTCTTCTTTGGGTAGTTAGACTATATTTAAATTTATTTAGAACAAAATTTGTTAACTATATTCTTTATATTCCGGATTGTTTAGATTATGTCAATTGTTAGACCTTCCCATTAGTTTGGGTAATTGAGAACACAGCGGGTACTGGGTGGAGCAGGATGTTTGGTAAATGTCTGGTCTGGACGGGAAGGTTTTTAAAAAAATTTTTTTTTCCACATTTCTACAAAGTTACAAGATGTTTTTAGTAATTATTTTGTCTCTGCTTTTACAATAGATAAGTCAAGTCGGAAGTGCGTAAAAATCCAAAAACTACCAACGGCCTTAGTTGGAATTTTTTTTATTTTTTCGGAACAGAAGGCCACAACACCTCTTCTACAGGATGGATTTTATAATTCACAGTTGAGTGCTAAGATGACATAGAAATCTGATTTTTTTTTTTATTTCATTACATACAGACAAG